ACGTACATAGCGTCTCTCTCTCTCTCTCTCTCTCTCTCTCTCTCTCTCTCTCTAGAGCTAGATGCAATGTCCCTCTTTCTCTAGAATCTGTGATCGCCCTCTCCCCCCTCTCTCTCTCTCTAGAATCTTTAGCTCATGAAATGAACCGTAAAATGCGGCCTGTTCTTGACCGAATGATGAAATAACATCTTAATTACTGACCTGTTATTCCTTTTCAATTTTTTGATTGAACTGAAAGTTGCAATTAAAGCGATCATCCCGAACCCATCAATTGACACGTGTCGATAAAAGCATTAAGTACCTATCTTTTAGCTCCAATTAAAAATTGGAAATTTAGTTTGGTGATTCAAAATCTAGGGATCAAATTGTTTTGTTTGTGCTTTGCACAATCTTAAACAATCTAAGGTGCACTTCTAAATTTTATCATAAATGTAATTTTGATATAATAATTTTTTAGGATTGTTGAAGAATTTATTTTCATTTCTAATTATAAACTTTTGAACTTTGAAAATGGTTCAAATCAAGTAAATCTAAAAAAATATTAAATTTTTAAAATAGACGGTCCAGATAATGTATTGTAAGATATACTATTTCACATACTTGAGATTGTTTTTTCTTTTTATATTCATTCATCTCAATGTTGAGATGATCAATTAGAGAGTTTTCCAACATCCAAACATCTTTTTATGGTGGATTTTTTTTGGTGCATCTTTGATCCTACATTTTAAAGTTGCAACCTCATATAAACATTTTTAAATTGTTTTCGATTACATTTGGCATTTTTTTTTTAAACAGTATTTATAATCTTTTTACAAAAATGGAAATAATGTATAACAAGCCTATATGCTTCAAAGCAAATAAAGCAAAAAGAGAGATACAGTTCCACATAAGTCATCTTCGTCTATCATTTATTTAACTATTTGGATTTGGAATACAAATCATGATATGACATTATTGTCATACCTTCAGTGAGGGTATACATTTCCATATATTTTCTCACTACTCCCAACTATATTATTTTGAGCATTCTTTTTGCCTTTTTGGAGCCCTTCTATTAGAACCAACACGCACCTCCTAACGTGCATTGTAACTCGCACCTCCTAACATGCATTATACTTTATTTATACTGTACATGATCAACTTACCTAAATCTATTTTCTCTCATCTTATCGCCTATTGGATTTACACCTAAATTCTCTTGAATATATTTATTTCAAATTTATATCCCTTTTTGTCTTACTGCTTGTCCATCTCAACATCATCAAATCAGGTACAAGGTATTTTATTTCTTGACCGCCTCCGCACCATAAAACAAAATTGGTCTTGCATATGTCTAATATAATTCTACATAAGTATAAGAAGCAAAATTAAAAATGACACGGTTTCTTTGTGTCCATGTAGAAATGAGTCACCTCTTAAAAATCTATTTTTGAGATGGATTTTTTTACCTAATTTTTAATGACATGTAATATCTAATATGGAGATCATAAATATGAAAAAAAAAAAATTAAGAATAAAAATAACAATTCTTTTAATTCAATTGTTTTTAGATGGACCACCTATTTGCATCAATTTTTAAGATGGATGCTTTATACCTCGGGGACAGCAAATGTAGAAACGCGATCCCCACCTCACGAAACAATTTTCCAATTAAAAAAGGCAAAATAATGAAACATTTATTTTCTTTTTTTCTTTAACTCTTAATTTATTCCATTTTCACTATACTATATATGTAGTACAAATTTTATGGGGCTGGACACCCACAAATTAATGAGTGCTATCTATTTAATGTACCAAAAAATGTACCCCCACAATACAATATCTGCCCCTGAAAGTGCATACCCAGCCATGGACTCTTTTGCGAATGCTAAATGGTTCATTCTCTGTTGATGTGTAAAAAAATTGTTTTCCCAATAATTTTTATTTCTGTACCTATGGGTCTCAAAACCCAAAAAAATCTACAATTTGAATTTGCTCCAATAGTTACATTGTCTGAATCCCTTCTTTTTCTTTTCTTTTCCTTTCTCCTTTTTTTATTTTTTTTTTTATTTTTTGACAAGAGTACATAATTTTATTGATTCAAAAAGTTATTACAGAGCAAATTACAATAACGAATCTAACGAATCTAAGCTAGCACCCTTCTATGATCACTTTGGTAGTAGATCGCGAGAGCTAGATTGCTAATTGTTATAGTCAACAATTAAACTTCTCTGCACGTACTCCAGTCAAGCTAGGAGTACGAGAACATAATGTTTCATCCCTTAAGGGTCATACTATTCCTACCTGGTCCAGATTGTCGATAACATGCCATCAAAGTTAAGTTTGACCTATTCTCTTGGTGATAGTTGTTAATTACTTGATTTTAAAAATTTTGTAACGTTCATTATGATAACAAATTTAATATTGATTAGGAGATCTTATTTTTTATCCCTCCGAATTCCTCCATCGCGGTTGCCTTAGTGAACAATTGTTAACTCGTGCATATCTTTTTTTTTACTGGGGAAATTCCATATAAATTGAGCTCCCAAATGTGTTCATCAGGTCTGGTTGGCAAATGGTAACATGAGCTCATCATGTTCATCAACTCATCAAATTGAAATGCTTAAATAGCATTTCTCATTCTATTTCACTACTGTATGCTTGAAGATACACATACAACGCGTCTACCACTAGTTCTCAAAATGAATAGCGGAGATGGTCTCCACCTCTGTGCTATTGGTCAATCATCTGTTAAACCCCCACTGTGATTCATCTACACCATCCGTCTTCAGAATGAATGGCGATTGGTAATGGCCGATAGGTGTTTTAAAAAATAAAATGAAACTTACAAATCACCTACCTATTTTTTCAAGTTTGTGAAGTGGTATTTGGGTAATTTTCACCCAGTTTTAGGGCTTCAAATATGCCAAATTTTCAGAGTCCTTTGGTCAGAGGGTCTCAATAGATATTAAAGATAAATCATCATCACCATTAGAACCTTATCCCAATCATTTGGAGTCGGCTAGAGATTAAGATTAAATACTTTTTATGTTTTCAAACATTGATACATACTCTTTATAAATGGAGAAGCTCCACTAGTTTTCTTATTAATGAAATGAGAGCAGAAGGGAATCTCAATATTTTCCGTGGTGTCATTGATATCTTATGAAGAAAGAACAAGGTGGGTTCTTGTGTTATTTTAGCATATAGAGCTCATTTGAGTGCAACAAGTGATAGCAACTTCACATCTTATTTGTGGAATCCCATGTTGCACGTGTGATGCCCCAATACATAGGAGCAAGGCTTTTAGGAGGTCACCATTATTCTTATCCGACATATTTCAAATTGGGCGGTTATGAATGTGTCATTAACTAAACTCCAAGTTTTAAATAAATAAATAAATTTTGAACTTCATTATACACCCTAAGCTATCCAATTTGACATCTAATGATTAAAAATAATTATGACCTTATTGTAATCAAAATAAATGGTCTTTTGGTATGCAACCCCTTAACAAGTCACCCGAATCGCCCGAGGTGGACAAGCTTGGAAGCTGGGTGAGACCCGCAACCCATAAGTGCCCTATTTTCCTGGTCTTTTAACATATAAGTTTTTTCGACATATATACAACCGATCGGACTTTAGAATGGAATCACAATTGGCCCGAGGAGCTTTAGGGCTCCATTTTGATTTTTTAAATTACTAATTTGGAATTATATACAAAATGGGAATATGAAAAATCTCATGAGGACCTTCCTAAAAGTTATGCCCTCTCATGTATTTTAACGATAAAAAACATAAGGTGTGGTTTCTATATGGTTGTAACCAGTGTTTAAAAAAACGCCGAGTCAAACCGGACTCGCCCGGTTCAACTCGGGAATCGCCATGGACGGATCGAATCGGCGAAAAAAACGGGAATCGTCTGGTTCTAGAGAGAACCGGACGATTTTGTACAGTGACTCGCCGATTCACTATACGGAATCGGCGAGTCCGAACAATGAATCGACGAGTCCCGTACGAAATTTATTTATTTATTTATTTATTTTTATTTTTATTTTTATTTTTTTGTAATCCATGATAGATTTTTTTGTAATACTTGATCGATTTTTTTGTAATCCATGATCAAATTGTTTGTTTTTTTTTGTAATCCATGATCGAATTTTTTGTTTTTTTTTTTTTTTGTTAACCCATGATAGAATTTTTGTAATCCACGATCGAATTTTTTGTAATCCATGATCGAAATGTTTGTTTTTTTTTCTTGTAATCCATGATCGAATTTTTTGTTTTTTTATTTATTTTTGTAACCCATGATAGAATTTTTTGTAATCCATGATTGAATGTTTTGTAATACATGATCGAAATGTTTGTTTTTTTTTTGTAATCCATGATCGAAATGTTTGTTTTTTTTTTGTAATCCATGATCGAATTTTTTGTTTTTTGCTTTTTTTGTAACTCATGATAGAGCTTTTTGTAATCCATGATTCAATTTTTTGTAACCCATGATCGAATTGTTTTTTTCTTTTTTTGTAATCCACGATTGAATTTTTTGTTTGTTTTTTTTGTAATCCATGATCGAATTTTTTTTTGTAATCCATGGTAGAATTTTTTGAAAATTTGTGATTTTTTTTTTTTAATCCATGATCAAATTTTTTTTTGTAATCCATGATAGAATTTTTTGAAAATTTGTGATTTTTTTTTTTAATCCATGATCGATTTTTTTGAAAATTTGTTTTTTTTTTTTTAATTCCATATTATTCAAAGAGAAAATGAGAGAGATGATGATTCTGAGGCCACCCTATCCCAGCCATATTATTCAGCAACAGTGTAGGGATGAGCACGACAGTGCAGGTGAACATGAAGGATGGACAATCTTCGGAGATTTTAGATTGAGAACACAACAAAACACTAACACTCAGGGATTTGGGAATAGTCAGACGCCTGCTAATATCGATAATTCGTTTTTATATCGAATCAATGAATTGTTAAACGAATTCA